ACACGAACCTATATTCCCATTAGATATCGACGTTACGACTGGGAAGAAACCTATCTTACATAATGTTCGGTGCAAGGTAAGATGTACTGCAGCGCATCCCAAGAGAAGATATACGCCATGGCTAGTCGCAGCCATGGACCGACAAAGTAGTAGTCGGCAACATAGCTCGCAATGAACGTTCCGTACACCGCTATCATGGCGCATTTGGCGAGGTAAAAGTCGATAGCGAAGCGCGTTTGATACACCAATATCGCAAGCAGAGCCGTCATGAGAAAGACTGCCCACACCTCGTCCTGGGTCGTCGACAGCGCCCAAAGGGGGAGAAGAAGCGCGAGTGCGACGCGTAAGGGTGGTTGAGTAGTCGAGAGCGTCATGTCTTTGTGAAGTTGGTGATGGGAGGGTCGGGAGAAGTCCATGTGGTTTCATTAGTTACAGGTTGTGTGGTGCAATCACGCGTTGATTGCCTTTCGCTTCCCGTCATTACTATTGCCCTCTGTCCGATCACAGGGTCGTGACATACTTTCACTATTGGCGAAGTGATCTAGGGTTTCTACGTGCGCTCATTGCGACTCCAAGGGCTGTAGCCTGCGAGCAGGTATCATCCATATGTGACCTTCTCCGGTAATGGCCCGGCGAGCATGTGCGGCCCCTCCTCCTCCATCGCATCCACGTCCGCATATCGTGGTATATCTTGATGTGTCTGCCCAAACACCACGGGTTGTGGTTTCCCATAGTGTTCCCTCGTTTCCTGCGCAAACCCTGTGTTCACATCCTCCATACCCTCTATCCTGCTGTCATGCCGGCTCGCGACACCATGTAGACCAGATGCCACAGGATCATGGCCCTCCCAGCCCTCGCTGACCATCTTCTCTACCTTCTCGATGACCATCCTACAGAGGTTTCGGTGTCCTTCTTCCATCTTGCCTTTGACGAAAGGCATAAGCCACCATGCGCAACTGACTTCCACATCTTCTACGAGCACAAACTGCGCATCTCCGACGCCCATGCCCTCGCCCTCAACCTCGCTGCCCAGTTCGCCATTTGCAACTACCCTGTATTCGGCCCTGAGTATCACACCCGCCGCCGCGTCAGCGCGCGTCTTTATGCCCTGCCTTGTGTTCTGGTAACAGACCGGGAAAGTTATGTACTTCTTCCCGTACTGCCCGATACCCGGGAACCAGGTTATGCACTCGCTGACGTGGTATGTTGCGACGGGGTATTGGTCGGGCGGATACCAGTATGTGTCTTTGAGGGTGGCTTCGGCGGTGTTGGGGGCTGTCTCATAGCCACAGCTAAGGGCTTGGAGTGTGAGGGTCGTGTCGTGGTCATGCAGCGCGGCTACGACCGAGGCGGGCGAGATGTGGCTTGGGAGATGGTGCGCGACGTGGAGGTTGTGTTTTGCGCTCATCGTGGAAGCGCGATGTCGTGGACGCGTAGGAGATCAGACTCCTGGTGATGGGATGCTCGATTATTCGTCTGGTAGGGCTAAATATAGAGAATTTCGTGGTGTCTTCGAGACCGGCTGCGAATGATGGTGAACGTAACGATTAGCGACTACAATTACTAGGAGCTATACAAAGTTGGGTATCGAAGTCTTGGAAGTCAAAAAAGTAAAGAGAAAATGTGCGAATGACGAGGCTGCAGGACGGCTAGTAGTAGCTGATGCATGTTGCGTCGCTGACTGAGGCGTTGCTATCTTGGTCTGAAACAGATGAATGGGCATCACCTGCGACGCGAAAGGGTCCGGCGGTAAACGTCATCACCGTGTCGCGCTATTCCCCATATGGCAAGGATCTATTTCCATCCCACCGTCTTTTCAAGATTGTAAGGCTCGCAAGGACAGGGACTTGAATGTTGCATTTTCATGAAGGCTTCCTTAAAAACTAGTATTGCGTTGAGATCACTTGGGCGAACCGTAGGAGACTTCGACCACAAGACGCGATGCGCAAAGGACATTCCTCCACGCCTCCATCCCCCCCACTGCTCATATGGTATACCTGAACCCAGCTTGGCCTTCGTTCTCGTCCATCGGCTCTCCATTAGCCCTCTGCTTATCTACCACTTTGTTCTTCTTCAGGAAGTACGTGGTAGTGCAGCACAGCACTAGCAGGATGTAGATCTGAAGACCAGCCGTGACCCAGAGACCCGTAATGTATGTTGGAGCTTCTTCCTGAACGAAAGTTGTTGACGCAAGAATACCGCCGATTGCACCGAAGCCGATTTGGAGAGCACTTCCGACGGACCGCTTACTTTGGCCACGGATGTTGTTACTCTGGTACGCGAGAATGGCCGGGACGTTACCCTGGCAGCCACATACTCCCAGGAATGAGCCAAAGTACCTTGCCCCGTTGTTCTTAGCATATGCTACGATCATGAGACCGATGATGGCAAGAATCGATTGCGCAGCAATCACGGGAGCGCGAAGGCGGTATTTGTCTCCTAGCCATGCGAACCCAAAGGCTGTGAACATCGCAAACAGACTGGGAGGTGCGGATAGGGCGTTGGCCTGACCAGGCGAATAACCCATGCCGAGAAGAATGACCGGGAGGAAATAACTGAAGGCGTAGGCTGGCATGGTTGTCGACATGAATAACGTGGCGTAGGCCCACAATTTGAGGTCTTTCAAGTGGTAAACGAACTTGGCCCAGGTCAATGGATCCGCTATCGAGTCTCCTCGATCGTCTTCGATACGCTGCATGATGACCGCGGCCTCAGCGGAAGTGAGAAACCCTTTCTTTTCGGCTTTATCGGGAAAGTCCAGGATGATGAACCATGCTGCGATTGCAACAATGCAGGTCAAGATGCCCTCTACACTGAGTGTCAGTATTGCTTGGGTAGAACCAACAGAGCTTGAGAAGCCTCAGATCGATGCGAAGTGCAATGTGAAGAGAAGACCTAGATGAGAATTTGTGGTGGTTTCTGCTTACCTATGATGAAGATCCATCTCCAGCCTCGGAGACCACCGACACCTTCCATTTGCATGAGACCATACGCAAGGATGTTCGCGAGACCACCGATACCGACAGAGAAGAGATAAAAGCCACCCAGTCTGCATTCTTGGTAAGCCATTGCTACCATGCATTTGGTTTGATAAAGGTCGCATACCTTTTTTGTGTCTCATAGCGGCGATACCAACAAGTGATGAGATATACACATCCAGGGAAGAACCCAGCCTCGAAAGCTCCGAGTAATACACGGCATATAGCAAGTGAAATCCAGCTTTCAACGAAGCCCTGTCCGATCATGACAGCACCCCATGATACGGCGATGAAAGCTAGCCAGTTCGCGCTGCCCACCTTACGAAGGACGATATTAGATGGAAGCTCAAGCAGGAAGTATGTCGGAAAGAAGAGAACCAGGACAATGGTGTATCGATCTCCGATTTGTAGGTTGAGGTCCGGTCCCATTCCAGCAACTCGGGCGTTGGAAATCTGCCGCTGGTAAGCGTTTCGTCTAGACGCGGACAGAAGGTGTCTGAACTGACGTTTGTGCGGTCTATGAGCGCGATGGAGTACAGGGCACCCAATATAGGTAGCAGCCTCCAGTCGACCCTACGCACCAACCTCTTCTCTTCGATCTGATCATAAGCATACTCCGAGACGTTGTTGTCCGTCGCCGTCGGACTGACTGCTTCCTTGTGAGTAGTGTCTTGCTTGTAATCGTCGTCGCTGTTCATGATGGGCGGAATATCCGGAGTTCTCTGCACCGTGGAAAAGGCTCAAGAATACAGGGGAGGATCGTCGCAGGGACAAGAGCAGATGCGGATCATTTCTCTTATCACGCATCCACTTATACTGGAGCGATGACGATGAAGACCGAGGCAAATTCCGGATTACAGCCAGGGCGAAGCTTCCCAAGAGCTCGGGGTGTCGTGGCTGGGCATGCCGTGCGTTCCATCTCCATCACAAACCCGGCAGACAGAAAGCCTATTGATCTTTTGGCGCGTCGCATACGGACCCAAATGGAGCGAGTAGACAAGGAAGAGGGTCTAATGAGATCCAACCAAGTCATCAGAAGACCCAAGCACGAAGTGAAGAAGCCTTGGACAAGGAGAAACCTCCACGACGGGATACTGCTCCTTGCGCCATATTACCACCGAAGTGCCAACGTCGCCAGCTTTGCGACACCGCTGTCATGCCGAGAAGCCAAACGTGGGATTGTCCAATGATGCTCGTGGTCGAAGCATGAGCGCAGATCTGTCATCCAGTAATGACACCGAGAACGTCAGTGCTCAGCTTGTCTGGGCGTGCAACGGCGGGGTGGCCAGATTGCGGGGTCGGTCTTGGGTCAGTCTTGAGGCTCTTAGCTATGTGGATGGTTTCCGAAACGCTCATCCGGGGTGCATGTCATCGGCGCGACTATAAAATGAGCTCTAGTGCTTCGCGTCATGTTGAGTATGTCATGTAGGCGAGATCGTTAGCATTGAGTCAAAAGCGTATGAGGTGTGACAGGTTCTCGCTTCGGGCTTGTGTAACAACGTTCGGTTTTGTTTCAGCTATAAGATGCTTGCGTATGTGCCGTGCAATGATCCCAGATGGAGGGCAAGGGCGCGGTTGGTGTTCGCGCGAGATGAGATGGAAGACGCGGGGGGCTTAGCGTCACTAGCGCCTTGGCGTGGAAGGCTCGGATGCGGAGGTCCTTTGCACTGCCATCATCGACATAGCGAACCCATATGCAGTAACGTTCACGGCGGAACCTGCTGCATACAAGTGCCGCGCTGTAACTCCAGCAGTCGTTTCAGTCAGTCTTGGAGCCTACAACGCTTGCTACAGACTATTCTTACGTCGCCACACACAGCTGTAGCAGGCAAAGATCGCAACGCCAACAAGGTAACAGCTTCAGAACAACACTGGATTCTCCAACTCATTCTATCTCATGAGACATCTCAAACGCCTTCCAAACGTGGCAGAATACCATCTATGTGGAAGGGCTACCACGATCAGTACTCACGAACACGACCAGCACAGCGGCGAACCTGGGAACGTCAGCTACACATCAGTTCATTGAACGCATACTACGTACGCGGATGTCACAGCGAAAACTTCAGCTCGCTTGGCGTTAGCAAAAAACGTCAAACAAAAGCTCATGCCTACGTTGAAGGCTGCGATTGTCCAAAGCTTCGCTTTCAAGTTGTCGAGCTGAATCAGCACCAGAATGGATGCGATGGGTAGCATGGCAGCAATCATGGAGCTGACCCATAGTGTGATCTTCGCCACAGTAGTGTCATAGTACACTTTCGGCCCCAGATGTCGATTTCCTTTGGTGAAGAGACCCAGGCCGCATTTGAAGAGGTATATTGCGCGTTCCGACACCACCCGAGAGAATTTGTCTTCAATGTTGCGTGGATGCACTGCTATGATGTCTGGAGGGTGATTGTCGGCATCGGTGGTTGTACCCCAAGTTCGCACATCGACACCGTTCATATGATTGGGCCCCATCTCTTCACTTTCAAGAAACTCTTGGATGTTGTACAGATCGAATCGGTCGGGTGCTTTGAGCTTATGAAGGATGGAAAGCTGAATGAGAGCTTTGTCTAGATTCCTCGTCATTCCAGTATCCACGTTCTGTATGAGGGCGGCATGCTTACTGTATTGATTCAGCTTCTCTTGCATCTTTCCTATCAGTTCAATCTGTTTTGATTGCGTTCCATCCGCTTCTTCTAGCATACATTGGTAATCGATAGCGTACTCGGCTCGTTTTCCCTTCGACCCTTTCTTGTCCTGCCTCTCAATCAAATGCAATTTCTTTTCCAAGACGCAGAGTTCGGCTTGCAGGTACAGCACACGACGTGCGTTGAGTCCATCAAATCGCCGATATATTCCACTTTCTGGCTTGCAGGCGATATGTTCAGAGAGTCTGGGATAACCTATCGGATGATGCTCCCAAGCTTTCACAAAAGGCGCCGCTTTTGGTCTACCATTCTTCGCCAGACCGAGGGCCTTTTCCAACATTTCGAGTCTGATATCACTCAGAATTTTGATCGAGGTGCAGCGTACGAACGAAGAGTGTTAGGAAAAGGGCTACTTATAGTGAGCCCTCGAGGGCCGAGTTACAGGTTGACATGGTTACACACAAGCTGCGCGAGCGTCCATGACCTGCAATCGGCGCTACACCCGATGTTGTGCAAGCGTTTAGCATCGCATCACAGCAGAAATGTTTGCTGCACCGCCACGACCTCACACGACCTGATAGTCCTTGGCAATACCCTGACAACACGTGATATGGAGCTGGTGATAGTCGTACACCGCAGGGTATTCAGGCTCGGTTTGGTGCTCTGCCGTGGCGACTACCCTCAATATTGAGTTTCATGAAGAGATGGATTTATCGACCAACAGAAGGCTTTGTGATTATCCACAGTTACACAAATCAAAAGATAAAATAACAGGACAGAAACAGTGGTCTTGAAATCCAACAAACCATACATTCCGCGTGTATCCAGTGGTCTATGATGGATCTCCAGAACGTCTCGTGGGTTAGACCTCAGCCAGCGCGCATGTCGCTCACACTTCCACATATGGCGCATGTGTGCGTCTTTTCATCGTCAGCTCAAACGATCGCAAGATACCGACTAGATCTCCTAGAAGATGGGTGACTACGTGTGAAAGTTAGACGTGCTGTATGACCACGTTCAGCAGATACTAAGCTTGTCCACTGTGCATCCTCAGATGACCAATGTCAAGCAAATGTAGAAGTATATATCATTCCCGCAGGACAAGCACATCTACCCCAACTTCGGTTTAATAGTATCTTTCGCTATGACTACACCAGACAGCACAACCACGGGTGGGATACCACATGTAGGATCCAAACCAGTCGAAGGCTGGCGCGGACTTGGATACAACAAAGACCAGCAAAGGAACCTCGACAGAAGCCATGACGAGGGTATCATGAAAGACAATGAGCGGGATCTCCGAGATCTAGAAACTGGCTGGCTATGCGCTAACTCACCAGCTCATTGCACTGAAGACGGAGGCGGCGGAGAGGACCCCGTAGGTACTGAATGCGGTGCTAATGGTTGTACCCACAAGAAGACCACAGATTCTCCCAAGGTACGCATCTTTCTGGAAGAACATGTTCACATGCTGGATGAGATCAAAGTGCGAAGTGATACAGGCTGGTTCCATGATACAAGATCTTGCAGAACGCATCACGAAGATAGATGGTCTAGTAAGGTTTGTACTAAATGCGGGGTCAATGTTGGTAGTGACTGCTCATACACGTATCTCCTATAGACGCGAGGGGCAGTGTGCTGGAGAAGACACGATGCAGGTGGGGATGGATCTTTTGTTCATACTCTGGTAGTGGTAGTAACATGATGATGAACAAAAAACCTGTATCTTGACGCACAGTTCGCTAACGCAATGATCGCTGTATTGCGCCGAACACATCGTATTCAAAGACTTATGACATGTCCAGTGCTTGACCTACAAAGACCACTTGAATGGCAGCAAACCTACACTCTGCATTAGTGGCAGCATCTACCCAACAAGAATCCACTTACGCTGCAGTGATAGAGAAGACATCAATCCTCCTTGCTTCCGTGAACATGAGCAAACATAGCGACATCAATGCGTTGAAGCCAGCGATAGCCGCCAAACGCACTTTCAGCGTGGGAATATACACCAGCGCGATGATAGATATGACAGGCATTGCTGATGCGACCATACTTGTAACCCAAAACGTGATCGTGGAGACTGTAGTGTCGCGATAACCGTAGGTGACGCTTCCCTTTTTGACTTTCCCGAAAATGCGCTTGAAGAAGTGCATCACATAGACCGCGTGTTCAGACAGCTTGCTTGAGAACGCATCGGTTCGCTGTCGTGGGCATAGAGCAATCAAGCCATCGTCTGCGTGAGCAGTGGGATCATTGTATTTACCCCAGATATTTCTGTCCGGACCAACCAACGGCAATTCCATCTCCGGGCTGCGAATGAAGCCCTGGACATCTTTGAGATCGAAGTAATCCGGAGGCTCGAGCTTGTAAATCACTGCCTGATAGTACAATGTCTCGTCTGTGCTGATGAGTATCGCCAATCTTACTGTCTTTATGGATCTGGGTACTCACTGTACTCCCTGAGCTTCTCTCGAATCTTGAGGATGAGGCTCAGTTGTGATGCGTCGCCATCCCTTTCCTGTGCTGAAACTTCGAGCCAGAACCAGTCGCTAGAATACCGGGCTTTCTCCCCTTGTGCACTGGCGTTGTCTTTGACTTCCATGTCTCGTAAAGCCTCTTCCAAGTATGTCAGTTCCGCCTGCAGGTATAGCAAGTTCTTCGCGTTCAGTGCACCAAAGCTACGGAAGATAGCAGATTCCGGAAAAACGCCCATTTGACGGGCCAGCTTTGGATAACCTTTGACGTGGCCATCAAGTAGCCCCGATTTAGGTTTCGGCATAGTTGGTGATGATTGACCGAACATCAGAGTAGGCTGTGGCGGCACGGAAGAGCTTTATGTGCGCATTCTTCCGGGTTCGAGTTACTCAGGTTCCATGTTACTACATGTTGTGTAATAATGGCTCATGCATGTTGTGTGACTATAAGTGCGCCTTTACGATTTCATGGTTGTACTTGAGACTGGTTACTATAACACAACGCATGGGGCCATCATCTTCACCGGATAACACACTATCTCAATCAAGGTTCAGCGAGCTTATCTAAGTACAATATGTATATTACCAGGGAGAAAGACCTGAAGTGCTTAATACATTGCATCAGCACAGCTTCTTTTCGTTTGGCACATGAAGCGACAGCACCGACGTTGGACTTGCGCTCGGCACAGTGAATCCTTTGAAAGTGCCCATAGGTCTACATGCTATCACAATAATTGGAGTTGCAACCCAACAGTGCACCGAATGATTACAGACCTAGGGATTACTACTAGATAGCCCACTGTTAAAGTGGTCGTATTCGTGAAATAAGGAAAAGATCAATGAGATATTTAGCGCGGGAAAGTCACAGAAACGGTGTTTAATCCATATGGACATCGTTTGTAGAAGCTCTAGACTTCAATTAGCCTAGATACCTTTGCCGGCAAGACCTCATCCTTAAACATGTATTTGAGTAGTTTGATAGTGTCTAGAACATGAGAGGAAGGCCATTCGACTAATGGCAGAGACTGGTTTGTGGAGACTGTCAACACACTTTGTTCGACAAACCGAATCTAACAACATATCCTGGAGATCTTCAGCGCTTCGCAACCTACCACGTCATTACTACAGATTGATGCGAATACATACAGGGTGAATAATAGTAATCACCAAAACCTCATCTCTGGGGATGCATGCAAACGGACATCGGGATATCCGCTTGCTTCAGACCGTCAGGCGTAGATGTCGTTGTCAAAGCGAGAATAATTACAACTCAATGACCAGCTCAAAGCGCCCACGTGGCCTACGCTGTCGGAAGTAGCAAGCATGGAGCATGATGATAAATTGCTGGCACCTGCCCGCCATGACATTGACCAAAAGCATCCAGATACTCACATCTTGGTCACCTAGGTAGTTATTCAACATGAGCCACGCACCCGGTAACAACCAAAGCGGGAAAGGAAAAGGAAAATCTCGTGACAATTCGAAAGACAAGATCCCCGGAAAAGCTCCGTCCGGTCGAGCTAGAAAAGCAGGCGCTGGATCTTATTCGGTACGGGAATCTGGTAAGTGTCTTGCTAGTTCCACTCAGGATGAACATCTAACACTATGTAGACTCTGGAGATGATCCAGCCTACGAAGCTAGGCTTGTTGACAGCGATCTCAAGAGAGCTAAACGTAAGTACTTGCTATAGCCCCGTCACCCAACCGTCTCCAGTCACTGACTTCAGCGAACAGATAAGTCGAAGAATGCTACGGGCTCCGTATCGTCTTCGCGTTCTGCCAGTAAGACGCGGTCCCGTGCTAACTCAGGTACTATGGGCCCTTTCGTTCCTCGAGGAAGCTCTCGTTCCCGCATCGGCAGCCTTTCACCTGATCGTGCTAACCTAGGCATCTTTGCTAACCTGCCTTTTCCTGAGCATTCCTCGCGTTCAGGTACCACTTCTCCTATGGCGACTCCTTCACAATCTCGGGCGCGATCGATTACCCCTTCTCCTCCCACCTCTGCCGCACACTATCGCTCTACTTCTAACCCCACCAACACCTCCTCGGTCTCCCCTTCTCGCGGTCATACTCGTAGTTCTCCGTCCGTAGGCACTCTCTCTCCCGGGAATTCTACCACCCTTTGCCCGTCAGGTGTACATCCATCCCCTCCAGGTCCTTATTATCCCACAGGTACGCAGTCAGGTCCTTTCGATAGCCATAGCCGTAGTCCAGGTGGGTCTCGTGGGGGCAGTCCTCGTGGTCGTTCGGGTCCAGGTCAGGGTGGCAGCGGTCGCGGTACCGGAGGAGGAACCTCAGGTTCATAACACGTGTGGCTCCGCTGATGTAAAAAGGAGTCCGTAGCTGAAGGTTAGATCTCAGTTAGTGATGCTTGATTGACACAATGAGCTTTCGGTAGACATTATTCTGCGTAGTGTGTCAATGTATCCATTTGGCCAGTCTTATACCTCTACCAAGACCTTTTCTTCGATGGCATGTACTCATCAAGCACCACCCATACAAAGCTCATTCAGAGACATGGATGATACGTAACCGTCCAGCTACTCCCTCACACTCGCTTGAGGGCACTTGATACCAACGAAGAGAACTGGACCATACGATCTCAATAAGCTCACGTGCTACGTCCATGCGACGTGACGTTTGGATTGCGCAATCACACTGCTCATGATGGCAACATATAATCTGCGAAGAGAGACGTGGCTTTCCATGTTTATAACTCAACCCATCTGAGAGAAAGCATGTCCAATCACACAGCCACTCAAGCAACTGCTAACGTGAACACCCCGGCGTGGGGCCTTTTCGCCTTCCCAGGAGAGGTTCGGAACATCATTTACGACCTCCTCATCACAAAAGCCTACCCCAAAGACGACATCAGGCCTGTCGCTTCGCGCATGAGTGCTATCCTCGTGAAGTTCCCCAGCTGGCTCAAAGACTTTGCGGATGCTTCTAGGCGGGTTCGAGACGAATTGATACCACTCGTCATGCGACAATACACATGGGTAGCCGACTTGCTATTTAACGATATCGACGACGGGGACTGGTATATTGCGAATAATCGATCATGGCTGGAGGGGACCGATCCTCATCTTGATGGCAACATCCGTCACGTTAGCCTGCGACTTAGGCACTGGTTACCGTCCCAGGAGGTGCCCCGGACAGAGCCATTCTTCAAAATAGGCGAAATGGGCGTTTTCTCTGCTTATATCGACATTCAGCTGTTGGAAAGCGCACCGCATGTCAGCATGAGGGCGAGGGCACATATAAGGCTTCTCGACTGCAACCAAGAGGCTGCATTAATGGCCGCGTTGAGCTCCGCGCTAGACCAAGACGTTAGTGCTGAGTTGCAGAGGTTAGTGAGCGAGAAACAGGCGGCAGGGTCAGCTCAGACATGTTTTACTATAGCGGATTGGAACCGAGTTGCGGGCACCTTGGGAACGACGTTTGCCACCTGGTTCAAGACGTATAATTGGACCCCGTGGATATAGGGCTTCATATAGACCTGTACCGTTGGTGGAGTTCGGATGATGGATTGCTATCGACGACATATGCAGGTCAGGATAGGCTCTCTGTATCGAGCAGACACCCAGAGTACTACATGATGATGTTGGGAGGATTTCTCTGGGCGCCAAATATACTGTAGCTACCGCGCTGATGATAGTTTGCGTAAAGAGCGTTCAGATTCAATCTCGAATTTCCCAGCCATTATTGTTGGGATGCGTAATCAGCCCAGCAAGGGCTCCACACCGGCTTCCAGCTTCTCCACATACGTACTGCAGAGATCGCCATCTCTCCAAACACCGCGGATGTTCAATGTCGCGTCAATGTCTTCAAGTGGGTTTCCTTCAACCAGCAACATGTCGGCGTTGAGTCCCTCCGCCAAACGTCCGCGATCAGTGAATTGAAAGCGTTTGGCAACCAGGCTTGTAGCCGAACGCAGAGCCTCCGCAGGTGACATGCCAATCTTGTTTACGAAAACGTTCAGTTCTTGATGCATCGATAGCCCAAATGCTGTTCCCACTGCTGGACCTGCAGAATCACTTCCGCTACAAAACGTTAGTCACTTGGTCAGTAGGATACACACGATTCACATACCAGAGAATATCGATACCCGCTTCTCTCAGTTTCTTCACGCCCTCGTATGCGTATTCCGCTTTACCGTTCTCAGCACAAAACCCCATGCACTTGCACATATTGCCCACGCGATCATCGTTGATAAGCCCTTTGATCCGGGGGTCATGTGCGAACTGACGCTGCAGCTCTTTCCCCTCGGTTGTCAGACTGCCGATTGCAGCAAGTGTAGGATTGACCCAGGCGTTGTTCTTCTTGTACGCATCTATCAGCTCTTGGGTCGGCGGCTGGTCGCAGAACGTATGTGTAAGGCCATCAATACCCGCGTTTAGGACATCGAGAGTATCACGCAACGAAAGAGCGTGTGCGACTGTCAAGTATCCTCGCTTCTTGGCTTCCGTGATGATAGTTCTTTGTAATTCGACCGAGGGATAGCTGAACTCGCGACCCATGCTAATTCCGCTCTCGTGCATGAGTTTGATGTAGTCTGGTTGCATCTCTTTCTTCGTCCACTCCAAGTATTCCACCACGCTGCTTTGATCCGTCAGCTTGGGCCACTTTGCAATTGCCGCCGCTGTTTCCGGACTCTTGTCATAGGCCGTGATCACGGGTATCGGCCACCCGTTCTCGATGGTGGCAGCCTGGCCTGCCGTCTTGTACGAAGCAGTATCTGGCTCCAAAGTCTGCTTCTTCAGCTTCTGCACGTTCTCAAGCTCGTTGTGCATTTCGCACACGGTGGTCACGCCAAAGCGCAACGCTTGAGGTAGGGCTTCGGGATCGGCCCTGTCTGCGTGGATGTGGCAGTCGATCAAGCCTGGGAGGAGCGTGTGGCCCGGTTTCGAATATGTCTTTACTGGTTCGAGCGGCGCATCGCTGATAGGTCCGACACTCTTGATCTTGCCATCATGTACGTGAACATATCCTTCGTCGATAGTCTCTTCGCCAGTGAAAATGCGAATGTCACGAAGAAGAAAAGTCGTCATGGTGCTGTATGCTTCGATGGTAGGACTGTATCTTGTCGCAATGCTTTGCTGCTAGCTGGGCTTCGCAGGCGTTGTAGACTACACTTGCTTTGTGCGATTGTTATATCGACAGAGAATGCAGGGACGGAACTACGTGTCCCTTGTGAATCACACACATTGCTTTTGTAGAAGATTACATCTAGCTCACTTTGCTGCAGATGGGGGCCAGCGGTACGGGCTCGTTGCATTAGCGTCCGGCTACGACCCGCAAACTACGGATGGAAAGGGCGTCAAGCCCGTGAGGCCAGCGTCGTATTGCGAGTATGCCGTGTCGCAGGAGTGAATCTCTACCAGCATGTCTGGCACTGGACGGACGTGATGGCTTTGTCGTCATTAGTAAGTATCGCGGTCTCCCCATTCGGTCAGTGTCGTGGAGAGCCGAAGCCGGTTCACCGCTCCCGTGTTATGCGCCATGGTGGATGGAAGGTAACAGGGACAAGTGTGAATTTCGGCAGGGTTTTCTATGGACGTAGTGTTGATGCAGTAATGCCCCTCATTCAGCGATTGTGACATGCATGAGAACCCGCATCGCTCCTTCAGATCGATCCACAAATGCCAAGACGCTAGTGACCAGTCGCGTTCATCCGCATCGTTGCTTCCTCCACTCGACTCTCCGTCTTCGTATCATGATTCTGTGAACTCCACGACAGTTCGGCCGTTATAAAATAAGAGCCGTATAAACATAATCTCAAACGTCCAACGGTTTGGCACATCTAATCACTTAGCTGTTAGTCATTGTCACCTCCGCCACCACAGGTGATGTATGAAGTGCATGAGGAATGGACTACAAGGTCTTCAACTTCTTCTTGAAATATAGATGTCACAGCAGCCTGAATATGTGAACATAAGTACAACACGATCTCGAGGAGACGACGTGGCCATTGCGCGTGACATATTCAAGGTATAAAAGCCTATCCTAGGCTGCTCAACTCTGAATCCTCACACTCTCACCACATAACAATACTACGACCACCTGCTACTCTAAAGAAACCAAAGCCATGTTTCCCTACAGGCAATCGGGGTATACCTATAACATTACGTTCTCACAACAAGTACCTTTTCCAGTGTCTTATAGTGTACAGGCAGAGAACCCGCAGCTGGCCCTCGTTCCACAACTGGCGATTATCCCACAACAGCAGGTAGTCAACCGACGACAGACACGGGTCCACTACACCGGCTACGATAGAAATCTCACTGACTCCCAATTCTGTCGTTGCGCACAACCAGAAACCCACGGCGATGCGTACTCACATCCTGAAGTTAACAACCACGCACAATACGACGGTGTACACATCCTAGATCTTCAAGGCCAGGAGATACAGAGAGAAGAGTATATCCAGCGATGCATGGATATCTTAGGCAAAGACTTCGTCAACTCGAACCACGAACTAAGAACTGTGCGTGCGCAGGTCCTGCACCCTGAAAGTATGCGAGTGCAGGATGGCCAGAGGGAGACTGCGAGACGAGCAGCAGAGATTGGAGTTCTCAGGAAAGGGCTACCGCACGATGTCGTTTAGTACGGGCCGGTGAACCCCAAAGGATGTCATATTCACCCGCCACCTGAGCAATGCGAAGAAAATTTCATTGGGGCATCTGGAAGTTGGAATCCGGTAACTGGGCGTGCGGTGAACGGACCACTGATGACTGGGCGTGAGGCAGATTGGGGGCAGCGTGGGTACGGTCGTCAAGGTTTTAGTCGACGTGGATATCGTTGAAGTGGTTGGCTATGTAGTTAGCTGTGAATTGAATCTGTAACGTGTCGTCAGCATATGCAGAATCACGAGTTGTGCCTGGACCAGTAAGTGCTTCCGTATAACGATCGGCTCCTCCGGGGGAAACAGCAGCCAATGTTGCGGTCGGCTTCCAGAAAGGCTCTGAGAATACCTGTCATGCCGGTCTAGATCCCCGTGGTAGGCGTGCGTTCGGGTCTAATTGGTACTGTATTCCTTCGTTGCGTGCCGATAACCCGAGAACTCAGTGTGATTGACGATGTATTCGCTGTTCTCCAGAACCATGACAGCTCGCGTCACGATGATGGACCCACGTCACGGGCCGAGTGAAGAGCGAACGACTGCGACGCGTAACGAACGGAAGCAAAGCCGCTGTGCGCCAAGCCCCCCACCAACGCGACGGAGCGTGTCTCCAGTTCGTCATGACTCCGGCATCGCAGTCTCCATCACGACTCTCATTTCTCTCCATTCAAGCCCTGTCTGGCTTCGATGCTGCACACTCGTTTTGTAGCTACCAACCATGGTGGTCCTAGTTGATCTGGGAGACGATGAACTGCCCAATTTAGAGACGCCCCATCCATCTTCCGGCCGGTTCAACGCCTTGCCGCCGCGTCGCTCCCTTGATGAAGGCGACGTGACGACAGCAGCCGAAAGGCCGAACCCGAATATCAATGGATTCAGCGCGGCACTTAGCTGTTATCCGTACGCTCCAGCCATAGCATGGACTTGATTCCGCGCTTTGATGTATGCTAATCACATTAACTACGCAGGATAGTCAGTCAGCTCGCTGCTCAACTCGACCTCAACACGCTTCACGACCTCTCACGTACTTGCAGGCAGTTTCGCGCGAATCTGCTTGAATATCGCAGCCAACTGGTCAGACATACGCTTCATTGCGAGAATGAAGACGATGACCTCAATGAGAAGCTTGGCTCGCGACTGCAGGAGGGGCGACATGGTTCGGTCTTGGAGAACCGCATGACGACTGGTCGCGTTGGTAAATGCGCCCGCGATATGGTTGGCGACTGTCAGCGGTGTGGGACAGTCGTATGCCGGGTAGGACGTTCAGATGCGAATGAAGGGCCTAGGGCTAACAGGTCTTACAGAACTGCACTATGAAGCCTCCACCGACGCCTACGCTCAGAGCCCGCCATCGTCGGCTATGTCGAACGTGCACGAAAGCACCCCTCACACTGCTCATGGCTGTGCAGAAGCAGCGCGCCTCATCGATGTCCCCTTCGCCACCCGGGTCACCGGAGACACATCCAGTGCTCTTCGATGGCGACAACCCGCGAGCCTTTACCGCGCCAGCTTTCGAGCGTACACCCTGCAACTGCGACAACGTAGTTTGGCTCTGCGCGCCATGCGGCAAAGACCTGCGAAACGCCGACACCACCTACGTCCGCGGTTGGAGCTGGCGCACTATGTACAGCCACATGCACGGCGGCGTAGGTATCGGTCTCGGCGAAGGCAACGAAGGCGTAGAATGCGGACGAGGCTCCGCATGCCTAGGCGCACACATCGTCGAGCACGAGACATGCGAGCAAAACCTCCTCGACACCATCGAGAAAGAGAGATCGCAAACCCCGGAGTCGCCTGAACGCTGGAGGGGCTCATCCTACCTTACACAGGAGATTGAAGGCATTGGCGGTGTGCTCAAGGTCAAACACAAGAAGCAGGTGCGCGTTGGCGAATGCGTAAAGCTGTTTGAGGACGAGAAGAAGAAGTCGATTCAGTATCTTGAGCGAGAGGTTAAGGGCGAGCTGAGGAGTTGGTGCTCTTGGTGTGAGAGGGTTGTGCTGGGTAAGAAGGATAAGGCTGAGATCAATGGGGAAAGACCCTCGTCTAGTGGCTCGAGCTCATCGTCCAGTAAACCAGTATTTACGTATAGATACTGATGTGGACTGTTACATAGTTAAGTAGTTCTGCTCAGCGATCATTGATGCATGCGCTCATTAATCACGTTCTTTGCAATTATAATCGCGATATCGATACTAATCCTTTACCCCAAATACCTCCTGAAGAAATTTCACCTCTTGTCTCAACTTCTCACACTCCGCCCGAGCAATATCGAGGTCTTCTCGAAGCAGGTCCCTTTCGCTTTCCACCTCTTGTATATTACTATGGTTACAATTCTTTTCTCCTTCTCTTCTACTCTCCAGCAGCCCTTTATATCTGTACAACAACTCTCGCAACTGCAACAACAGGTTACTCTTCTCGTTCTGCAGCTCTGCCTTCTCTTTCATGAGCTTGTCAGGTGGAGGGCGGCATTCTTCGTCCAAGACAGCTGCCAGTGTGTCTCGACTTTGTTCGAGTGCCTCACGGAGCTTCGCATCGAGATTCTGATTCGCTAGTTTCATCCACTCTTCTTGATACGTCTTCTTAAGTCTCTTGATGTCATGCTCAACCTTCGCTCGTGCATTGACTAGGTTGTGAAGCGCGCGCTCTCGTCCAAAGGGTAATTTGGGGCTGTCGAACTGCGCAACGAGCGTCGCGTATTTGTCGTACTCTGCGTAAAGTTCGCGGTAGTTCTGTAGAAGTTCGGCGTGGTTCCAGCTAGCAAGAGCTTTTTTGGGTGTGAAGCCGGAAGAAGGGTCCATCATTTGTAGACTTCGCGTTTGGTGCAGTGAGAGTGTTGCGGGGGTGGGTATAAGGGGAGTATATCGTGATTGTTTGCGCAAAGCTTGCTTTGACAACATAGTCATAGATGGTCACACGTGGACTTCCCTTCTGGCGATTCCCAGTCAAGCTGCGAATCAAAGGGGAACGTGAAAGATGGATAAGTCAAGAGCAATCTTACTAGAACCAGAGTGGATTCAGGATCGAGATGTGAATAAAATATCGCAGTCAGCGGTACCTAGAAGCTCGAACGAGCTCTTCGATAACGTTGCTGCAGACAAAGTCAATATTGCGAATACACTAAGCCTCAGAATGGTATACCAAAAACGCCATGCTCTTATCCTAAACGCCGAACCTCCGCATACGTGCTATCACTCCGTGTTCTCCGTCCTCTTCTACCGTCTCGCGCGAACATTGAACGGACTCTCCTCCGCGGCCTTGAAAGAGTCAAACGCGAACAGGCTGACAAAGTACAGCGCTGCAAACCTGACCACCACATCGCTCAGTCCGCCATTACCAGTCAGCATCCTTTGTAGGCCGGCGAACGGGCTTTCGCCAACTGGCCGACTGGGTTCTGAAGCGGAGCCAAGTGTGCGGCCTTTGGTCGAGAAGACAGCGGAGGCAGCACCCGGGCCAGAAGTATCGTTTGCGGCTTTACGGACGGCGGCTGTGAGGGCTGCGGGGTTGGCGCCGCGGATCGTTTCGACGACGGAGGTGGATTTGATGACGAGGAAGGTCGGCATACTGGACAGTGTTTATGTTAGCTCATGAATCTACGATTTCCTCCATCCTAGCATGCAGGTGTATCTCTCGGGGTGTACGTACGCGCTGACGCCATACTTCTTTGCAACTTCCTGTTGGCTATCCACGTCCACCTTGACGAATTGCATCTTGCCTGGCTTGGTCTCTTTCTCTGCCAAGCCCTGGAAGACTGGCGCGATTGCCTTGCATGGTCCGCACCAATCCGCGTAGAAGTCGACGATAGTGTATTTGGATTGCGACAGAAGTTGGGAGAAGTGCGAAGCGGAGGTTACGGGTATGATTTTGCCGGGCATCCTGGCTACTTTCGAGTGTATAGGCTCTTAGAACAAGGTAATTCCTGAGTGATTGGCGAAGGAGAATAGATAGGGCAGCTCGTGAAGTGGACTTGCGTTGGTAGTGGGTGTGTTGCGGGGAGGACAGCTTGCGGCAAGGATGCGCCACTTCGAGCTCAGGTGGGTCGTGCGTCAGGGAACTAGCTGTGACGCGAAGTCAACGCGACCTGCGACAGTGTCGACAATCTGGCCAAGATCAATCGCGCGGGTATTTTGTGTCAGAAGAAGCTTGCTATAGATTCCTTCAGCTATGTATGTGCTCTTTGTACATGTTCAGTCAGCTGTCACCTCACTGTCATTTCCTTCACCTTCTCAGTTCTCAACACGCTATCCTACTTGATCGCAGGTTCGCTCGGAATGCCATTGCGCTATGCAAGACCAGCAATACCGGTAAACGGAGTGGAGCGGCTTCTTGACTTCTTGGGGATGTACTCGGGCTCATCCTCGCTTGCGTCCACCTCTCGGATAGGACGCTTCTTCGCTCGCGTCTTCTTGGCTTTGGGCTTGGGAACTGCTGCTGCATCTGTAGCTTTCACCGCGTCATCGACTCCTGCTTCTTCCAACTTGACACCGACGGTCGGTCCATCCTCAGTCGGCTGGGCATCGACTGCTCCGCCGACCTTACTTGTGCTTGGTGCCTTCTCCATCTCGAGCGGGGGCGAGGGCGGATAGGCGACGTTCGGCTGTGGTTCCACCTTGTGTTCCGGATCTTCTGCCTTGACTTTGGTCTCTGCGGCCTCTGCGGCGTCTTCTTCTGCCTCATCTTTGGCCTTCTTCTTCTGGGCCTGGGCCTTCTTTGGTTTCGCACGCGACTCGATCTTGGGCGCTGGTGGCGCGACGACCTTGCCTGTCTCTAGTGTCTCGGTCACGACTTCCTCAAACTCCGTGGAAAGGGAATCACGGCCATCGAACATGTCTTCACTGGCTCGGCGAACCACTTCTACCAAGTCAAACGCTGACATGCACTGCCAGTGCTTGTAGACCATGCTCTCGTGCTCGCCGTCGAACGGTACAGATAGGCCAAGCCTCAGCTCGCCTTTGGTGATCTTCACGTTCTTAGACAGGCAGTCGCTGCCACGGCAAGCGCATGCACGACCAGCAACGTCGACTTTGTAGAAGCTGACATCAGTGTACTCTTTGGCGTATCGCTGAGCGTCCTTGGCCAGGTCTTCTCGGATGCCCCTGAAGTTCTTGTCGACCGGCTGACCCTCGAAGGCTAGGCGTACTTGTTCTTGGCTCTCTGGGCTGAGTCGCTCATAGCCAGGTGCCTTTGTCGGGTCGTTGCCGGTGGTCTCTTTCAAGCCCGCGATCTGATGCTTGGTCGCACAGCCCCTTGCTGTATCAGTACACACAGTAGGCGCAGAAGGCTCCAGACGAAGGTAGACTTACCAGTGACGCCAGGCCATGTACCATCTAGCCTCTGGCTCAAACAGCGTATGAGTACCGATACGTAACTCTCCTTTCGCGATCTTTATCTGGCTGCGCTTGCAGGCGGCCTGACTACAGGTTGCGCGGCCAGTACTCGCCTGCTCTGCAAGTTGTTAGCCAAGAATTTGGGAAAGGGATGCGGCGGAACATACCAAGACGCCATTTAGGGCCTTCGTCGTCCATGTTTGCGAATTTTGAGAGTTTGGTGGGATCTCGGTAGGGGATCCAGTGAATTGAGGCGATAAAAGGTGAGATGTGAGCGCAGCTACTCGCGCTTCCAAGGTTGCGAGCAAGCACGTGAGGCTTGGCGGGGAAAGAGGAAGTCGCGGTGGCTGCGTCCAGTGATTTCGATGATTTCATTCTCACCAGGTAGACCTCTGTCCCTTTCTTCTAATTACCAATAGGGATCAAAGCTCAGAAAGGTACTCATGAGTGGCGCCAAAACACTTGTGGTCTTGTTTGTGACCGGGACAACGCAGGAGACGAAACAGGAAAGAACGAGGTCACTGCGAAACTTATCACCCAGTCATCATGGACAGCTAAAATACCACAATCCGCTCGGAGTATCGCTCACTGAGTGCGGCCATCATGGTCTATTTTTGACCATTGCGCTCCCCTGCGTCCAATCAGCGATCAGCAGGAAGTCAGTCGCGACTTGTTCGCAATGCTTGCATGATATCTTTCGGTAATATGTTCGTAGGCGCAGGAGTCTGAACTTGATTCAAGCTTGATGTCGTCCATCCTGAGGTTTATGAAGTTCGATTGAGGATTGCGGGGAACAGCGGGGAAGTCCGTCTTCACTAGTCCACCTCCGCTGACTCAGGCACACCCCCTAGCTATTTCCACATCCCAACAGAACGCATTAGCGATCAGATGCTTTTCCGAGAATTGTGACTCACTATTCCGGTTGTGTGATCATATAAGATACGAGACAAGCATCTCAAGCACTGCTCCGTTCCTTCCCCACCTTGGCAGATCAACCCTCAACATCCAATACAATACAAACATGACAGACCCTCCAGCAGACAAGAAGCTTTACGTCAACGCTGAAGATGCTCAATCTTTCGTAGCTTCAGTTCTGGTCGGTAATGGCGTCGCGCCTGAGAACGCGAGCATCATTGCCAAATGCCTCATAGCAGCCGACCTCCGCGGCGTCGACACCCATGGTATGAACAGAATCCCGTCATACATGGAGCGCGTTCGTCAAGGCGTCTTGAACAGTGCAGCAACACCTACTCTCACCCAAGTAACGCCAGTTGTCACTCAAGTCGACGCCAATAATGGCTTCGGCTTTCTTGCAGCAGACGCCGGCATGGCTGCGTGCATCGAATCCGCAAAGACGTATGGTATCGGGATGGCGAGCATCAAGCATTCGAATCATTTCGGTATGAGTGCTTGGGTCGTACAGAAGGCTCTCGATGCCGATATGATGAGTTTGGTGTTTACCAATTCGAGTCCTGCGCTGCCGGCTTGGGGTGGGAAGAGTAAGCTGCTGGGTGTCTCGCCGATAGCATGTGGTGCGCCAGGAAAAGATCAACCGTTCGTTCTGGACATGGCGCCGTCGATTGCAGCAAGAGGAAAGATCTATAAGGCGAAGAGAAGGGGTGAGAAGATACCGCTGGACTGGGCGCTGGACAAAGATGGAAAGCCAACGGACGACCCAGAAGCGGCACTCGACGGCGGTGTCATGTTGCCTATGGGAGGGCCAAAAGGTTCGGGTCTTGCTGTCATGATGGATGTTTTCTCCGGTGTACTCTCCGGCTCCGCGTTCGCAGGCGACGTTACGAATCCTTACGACCCCTCCAGACCCTCAGACGTTGGTCACTTCCTCGTCGCGGTGAAGCCAGATCTTTTCATGAGCTTGGACGACTTCAGGGAGAGGATGCAGATTCTGTATGATAGGGTTACGGGTGCTGAGAAGGCAGCGGGTGTGGAGAGAATCTACTTCCCAGGCGAGCTCGAGCAGTTGCAACAGCAGGAGAGAGAGCAGACTGGGATTCCTTTGGTGCAAGCGGAGGTTGATGCGCTGAATGCGGAGGCGGAGAAAGTTGGTGCTAAGCAGTTAGTTGTCAAGTGAGCGCGAAGACGATGTACAATACATGCTGTTGCGCCACATGATGCACACCATCAAAGAATCAAGAGCAAATGCAACACCTGGGGCAGGCTGAGGTGACAGGCGTTTGTTCCATCAGCTAATCACCACGTACAAGAAAAGAGCTAAACAGGTCTGCAGCCTACACTAGAATGATAACATGCAAAATAGGCGACCCAACGTCAACGTAGGCTCTAGAGATCCAATTTTCCTTCGAAGGAGGTGCTATGAAACTCTACCCACGTCGTTGGAATGATCGTTTCTTTGTATCATTCTCGCTTCTGATGTCACCCCAGTCGTCATGTCCGATGTCTCCATCTTCTTCGACTCACATCCACGTACCGACCAGGTGCCTCGTTCTAATGATCATGCGACTGGGTCAACCTGTCATAATCGTATATCCATTCGCCAACCCCTTCTTCATTCTCGTCGTCCGGTTCGTCTGAGAATGCGCGTCCGTCCCAAGTCGCACTATAATCAATGCTAACCATACGGTTCCGCCGCCTAGTAGTTGCGGGAACGGATACGTTTTCTTGCGGATCGCTGAGTCCGGCATCTGGGGATGAAGTAGAAGAAGAGGAGGTGTCGTGAGAGTCGTTGTGGTCTTCGTGAGAGTCGTTCTCTTCCTCATCATCATCCCCCCGGTTCGCATCGCCTTCATACACTATGAATCCCCGCCGACGGGTCATGTATTCCAAAGCTGATTCTCCCGTCGTGGCAGGCTGAGCTGGTGTATCTCCGTGAGCTGAGGTCTCTTCCGTCTCGTTCAGGGCATCGCCATCAGCTCGATTTTGCTGGGAAATCGGCTCAAGGCTTCGCTCTTCTTCATCTTCAAAGTCGTCGCTGGTGGACACAAGCCACGTACTACCAGAGTCTGAGGACGACACTGATGCCGGTTGAACTGGTCGTACCGGTCTACGCTGCTCGCTGAACTGAATACGGCATTCCGGGCAAAGGTTGCTATTAGCGGATGTTCCATTCAGCCATTCGTAGATGCACTTGTAGTGGAACAGATGTCCGCACGAATTGAGCTTCATGGTTCCCCCGTGACGATCATTACTACTATGGAAGTGATCTTCCATGCAGATTGTACAGCATTGGTCTTCGGGAACTGTTGTTGTGGCAGTCGCAAGATCAGTGAGATCGAGAAGAGGGCCGTAAGGTTCAAGGTCGGCGGTGTCATCGATGGCCAGATCCAGGTTCTCGTCTTCGCCATCGTCCATATCGGCTGTGTCAGGATCATCGTCCTCGTCATAGAAGCGATGGCCCCGTCCTGTGGACGGAAATCGCGGTCCTCGGCTGCGCATTATAGCTTCCACATCTACTTCGTTGGAGAAACCTGATAAACGGAAGTCTTCTGGAGGTGTATCGAAGTTATAGATGTCATCTGGTGAGATGTCATTTGGTGCGATGCTCAAGACGCCTTCTGTGTTTATGTCATACTCCTTACACCGCCTTTCGACGATAACAGCCACGTTGGCACCCGGTATCCAGGGTCTAGGATCGGAGTATGGAAGCCTCATTTGTCGCACAGCCCAGAGAAACATCCAGATCTCCAGAACGAGTGGATCGGACGTGAAAGTACGACTCAGATCGTATGCCTTCTTCCATATGGCGTCCCAAAGCCCAATGAAGTCGATGTTCTTCAGACCATCCCGAACATGATATGGCATCAGTGCTTGGGGATCTTGGCATTCCACAGAGTAGATGTACTTCGTCCACGCTTCCTCTAGGCCCATCGCGTACCACTTGTATGCTGGTTGCTGACTAAACGCACGACCATCGTACTCATAGGAGGATCTGAACAGCAGGGCAACGTTGAAAGTCTGCTGCATGACCATGTCCAATATACCCACAATACCGCTAAAGTTACCCGGTTCGCGGGTGAAGACCTCCATTACCGACCACAGTACGCCTCCGGGGCCGAAAAGTTCGTGGGTATGATCGAGAGCAGGATTCGACTCCGCTAGACCGTAGACCGGCCCGCAGGTTGCGACAGCCGTCAAATTTGCCGTCGCAATATCTTTCTCCTTCGACCACTGAGATTCTTCCGACAAACTGAGAGTGGCGCAGTCGACCAGCCACTTCAATCCCCTTTTAACTTTGGTGTACCCTCGCCCGAGATCTATCACAACGTCGTATGGATTGCCACCGAAGACATCTTGTCGGACATTTGAGTCTAGCTCGAACCAGATGCGAACTGGGTCTTGCTTGGCCATCAGCTGCGCCACTTGCAGTGATTCCGGGTCGGAATAGCGAAAGGCTTCGGGATCGCGAAGCCACTGCAAAGTTTGAATCCATGGGGCATGGATGTGCTGTTGGTACTCTGTTGATGGCAGCGCATCCGGATACTTCTCGCGACACTCGTAAACGCGCTGGAGAACCAAACCAAATACATCGAGAATTCGATCCGTGTGGGTATATGAGTGGCGAAATGGCCGAAGCGCTTGGTCGAGTGAGGTCAAGTTGACTGGTAGGTCCTTGGCTATCGTACGCGCATTCGAGGGCGTCATCTCTGGCACTGGGGGCGGCTGAGATCCGGTGTCGTCCATCATGTGTGTGGGACAAACAGGAAAGAGTGACCGCGTTGTGAAATCGTTGGGCGATTACCTGGTGAGCCCGGATCCACTTTGCGGTTTTCCACGTGAGAGACGCGCTCACACTCGTTCAAGAAAAAAAGTGGGCCCCCGCTTCTAACCTATTTGATTCTCCTGCTACTCTTCTAAAAACCCATCAACCATCCGTGCATATGTCGCTGCATCCTCCAAACCCACCCATCCCTCTTCCTCAGCCTTACCCTCCGCGAACGCGAAAAGACTGGTCATGACATCTCGTCCAATAACGGATACCTTCTTCTGCATATCGCTCCAATCCCAGACTACATTCTCCACCTCTTGAGTATCGAAATGGTGCACCTGTATCACGACCGGCTCATCTCCTTCACTCATTTGGAAAGTCATACGCGTGGCAGATGTAATAAGAATCTCGCCATATTCGCAGTTGATAGTCCATGTCAGCGCTGGGGTACCGGGAAAGGGCTGACCGCGGCGGAACAGGAAGGACAGAGTTGCATTTGGGGCAGTGAGAGAAGATTGCGCTATAGTGCCATGGACCGCTAGGAAGTCAGGCACGTCGGTGGTTACTTCTTCAACTGTTTGCTTGGTTTGAGGGTCTTGGATGCGGATGTTGGGGCGCAGGATCTGTGATTTCGAATAAACGGACTGTGCGTCAAGTCGGCCGACGACTGAGAGTACGATGTCAAGTACTGATAAGAGTTAGTAACGACTGGAATGTGGAAAGTGATGCTCACCATGACCAACACCTATCACGATAGCATTTCCGCCGATATCCTTTTGAGAGAAATACTTCAGACCAGTAGGCATCGTCTCCCTGTCATTTGTGCCCCCGAAAGCGCGCACGTCTGAGCTGAGCACTTTACCAAGTCTACCGTTTCCACTATCCAATATGTCTCTTAGCTTCGCAGCTGGTGGTGTCCATCGTCTCTGTAAGCCCACAGCAACTCTTGATCCACTCTTCTTGGCCGCTTCGACGATCTCGTCGATTTGCTTCCTGTTGCTGGCGATTGGCCATTCGACATAGACGTCCTTGCCTGCCTTGATGCTGGGAAGGATTGTCTCGTAGTGCTTGTCAACCCGGGTGTTGCATATGACGAGGTCCATGTCAAGGTCAGCTGCGAGATCTTCTGGCGACCCATATGCCTTGGTGTCCTCCGGAAGTCCGTACTTCTGGATGGCGGACTCTGCAGCCTGAACGCTGCTGTTAGCCAGCGCGGTGATGGTGATCTTTGAGCGTCCAGTCTCGGTGAGCAATGCTGGGAGATGGGCTGCCGAGGCCCACGATGAGTTTCCCGAGGAAGACAGCCCGATGAGCGCAGCACGAACTGGGCGGATCGCTGATGCCATTTTGCTCAAAAATCGAAACAAGGACGAGTTTTTCTGGAGTAGCAAGTACAACTGTATTGCATATCGATCTCAGCAGGTCCTCCGGGTATTTCTGCATCTCATGAGGTGCTGTTGTGTAAGCTTCTCGCTTTGTAATGCACCGCATTTATAATCTTGCATGCAGCAAGCGCGGATGGTAGGAAAGGACGCCTTATGTCTGAAATGTCAGCAAATGCGTGTAAACGACATACAGCCACAAGTAAGCCGTGCACGGCATCATTGACAATCAGTCGCAGGCACTGCACTCATGTTAAGCCTCAAGTGTCGCGTCTCTGATGATCCTCCATTGGATGCGCATCGCTACAGACTTGGGACGAAGACGATGATCGTGGGCGAGATGGCTCGCAAGCAGATGCGATGTGTGGAGGAGGTAGCGTGAGAAAAGCGGACGCGATGAACTCATAGCTAGACGCGTTCTAGCATCAATTGATCGGACGCGTCTTCGAAAGGGAGCTATCGCTTAAAGAGGACTAGTCTACAGGCTAGCGTCGAGCTTTCCCGCGGAGGCGCCCAGCGTCAGCGATCACCCATCCTACATGCTCATGTCTGTAATCTACCCAGCACTCGGTATGACAAAGATTCATTTGAGATCCATCCGGTAACGGTGTAGCTCGGTCCTTGCCTGGACGTCATCGCTTTTGAGGTCTAATGTGCCACACTGGGGTCGTGGCAAGGAGCCAGGCGTACGCCTGTCACTATCGAGAGACGGAGATCGATTAGCAGCGAACAGATCCTGCCAACCTGCTATTTCATGGTACGAGTGTTGTTGTGAGTGAGTCGATCTCGCAAGCTAAAGCCCATACCCAAATACCTTCACTTGCAGCGGCATGATGCTTTATTTGGCGTATACAGAGAAGCAGTGGCAGGCGGTCTCTCATACGAGTTGTGGTTGTCTGCACCCCAATGACCATTCTTGGTGTAGCGACTGCATCACTTTCAGGAGGTGCAGGGCCACCTGTGGGCACACGGGTGCTCTTTCCACTGCTGCTATCCCACGTTATCTTGGCAAACAAATGAGCTTTATCACCTCGCCCAACTACCACACACAACCACGCAGGAATACCACCGCCTCAAAGCCACCCTCGGTGAGAACTCACACAGAATGTCGGAGCAAGATACCTCACCACCGATTACTGTTGCGTCGCTGCGCGCGATTCGAGAAAAGAAGCGACAGCTGGTAGCTCAGCCACCTCCGAGTCCTTTGGAGCTCACACATCGACTTCCTGACGCCCAACCACCGATAAAGGAAGCGATTGAAGAAACCTCAGGTCCCTCCAAATACACCCGTCATAAACTGGCAACGGACGCAGTCATCAAGCAAAAAGATGCTGAGCCCGCAAACCCCTACGAACATACGCATAGCGTGCTTGAAAGACGCCTGACCGAAAAGCAAGACGAAGACAACATCAAGGCCACAAATGATCTAGAGGACTTCCAACGCTCTACTTTCCTCGAATACTGGTATGTTTTCGGAGACCTTCCGAAGGTTGAGGACATTCGGATGATCATCACAGCCTTGTACCGCATCAACGAGCCGACCGGCTTGTCGAAGAAGGGGGCAAGGGATTTCCGTCATAAAAAGCGACTTGGACTGTTTCTCCTAGAAGATATAGTAGCTCAAGGACTGCAGAATGAGGGACTAGTGACCACGGCAACTCCCTCAGAGCATGCTCGCTCGATGCTCCTTCGCCCAGATCTCATAACGATGGCGAGTGTGCAAGCGTTGGGTCAACACATCAAGCAAACCAACAAGGCGCAGAAGAAGGTCTCGAAGCTTCTGCGAGCTAGGGAGAGGCGACAAGCAGCTTCATATTTGGATGACTGGCTCGAAGGCGGGGTGCAGAAGGATGTTCGTGTGATGCATACTCAAGCACATCAGTCCGACGCAGAAGACACACTGAAGAGCGAGCCAGCTCACGACGCTCTGGGATCTGCTCCGCGTGGCGTCGTTCTCGGAAAGCGCTCGGCATCAACGCCTTTGCAAACAGACGATCGAGGCTATACCGCGGAAATGCCATCTTTCGTACAACCTGAGCTTGACGATGTTGTCGCTGGAGATGCGGATCCGTCCCTGGTGGCCATGTGGCAGGTTGTACCCGACCTCCAGAAAGATGCTATGCAGGACATCAAGACTCAGATCATCGTTCCAACAGTCGTCGAATACTTGGATATCGTCAAGCGGCGCAAATTGGGCACTCTTGCGGCTGGAAATGGTACGAGTGCGGATTACCGACTACTGCAGTCCCAACCAGCCGTCGTTGCTCAGACACTCGCAAAGCACAGCGCCTCATCTTCGTCTCCCTTGAACTTTCGTATCGAAGGATTCCTGATGGGCATCAGGAACGGTACCATGACTGACGAGAAGGTGCCGAACAATTTCTCGATCAAGGTCCAGACGGATAACGGCGACACCACCATCCACGCATCTGTGCGTGCCGACGCCTATATGACCATCTTCAAGGCCCTCAGTGTCCTGGATTTACTTGATCGTGACATGGACAAGGTGGAACACAGCAAGGCAAATGGTATAAAAGGCAGATGGACGTGCTTGTTCAAGAAAGCACTGAACGAGATGTGCAAGTGGCCGGCTGAAGGCGAAGCGGGACAGTACGCATGCGACTACTGTATGAGACGTCGCCGCCCTTGCATCATTGCAATCAAGGGCGTCTTCTCAGTTGCCCCATTAGCTCCTAGCCTGAGGATGGGTCGAGGACTGGGTGACAGGGAATACTGCGTGTTGTCCGGAGGGGCTGTCAACACAAAGCGAAAGTTCTTCTCGTAGAGCTTTCCACATCGAAGCAAACTCGCGGGGAATGCATAGTCTGCTGGAGAGACATGAGCTGGACATCGAGCAGCAGTTGTGTATGTTATCTGTGTACCAAGTATCTAGGTATGGATAGTTCAGCAGACATAACAGAATACACAGTGTTAGATACCAGTGCGTGTCCTTGTCAAGGCATTTGAAAATTGGTCTGGGTGCAGAGTGATGCGTAATGATTGCCAAGGATTCCGATCCGAGAGTAGCTTGTCAAGAAAGTCGATTCGGTCGACATTGGGATGATGCACGGCGAGGTACAAGGGCCGACGGACGAACACATGGAAGATGGGGCCGCGGGAGGTTTGCGCTAGTACTAGCAGGCACTAGTGTGAGCCCCGCTCCTGAACCAACCGGATGGGACCGAGGCACAGCTGCGCGCCTGTGAAACCACGCCGTCAAGACGCCCTGCACCTCAACCTTGGACCTTATAGCCCGCCATTGGCGTCTCCCTAGCTCTTGAACCAACCTCGACGCGCCAGGCCTATCCAAGACTTTTACCATTGAACCTCCAGGACGACCATCGCAGCTCAAAATGGCGGAAATAGCACCTTTCGAGCACACGCCCATGGACGACATCGCGCCCACATGCGCCAAAGTCCGCGCCAGCTTCCTCTCGCACAAGACCAAGCCGCTCGAGTACCGCATCCAGCAGCTGCGCAAGCTCTACTGGGGCTTCAAGGACAATGAGGAGCTCATCAAGGAGGCGTGCAAGCGCGACCTGGGCAAGCCGTCGTTCGAGACATACCTAACGGAGATCTCGTGGTGCATGAACGACTGCATCTGGATGGCCAACAATGTCCCGCGCTTTGCCAAGGACGAGAAGGCGACAGATATCCCCTGGACCAACATGCCACTACGTCCGCGCATCAAGAAGGACCCATTGGGCACTGCGCTGATCATTGGGTATGTCGTGTGTGCATGTTGAGAGATACTAGCTGACGAGACCAGAGCCTACAACTTCCCCATCCAACTCACCCTCGGTCCTCTCATCGGTGCCATCGCCGCAGGATGCACTGCCGTCGTCAAGCCCTCCGAATCCGCCCCCAATGCCGCCGTCGCCATCGAGAAGATCATGCGCGATTCCCTCGACCCCGAATGCTACACATGCATCCAGGGTGCCATCCCTGAGACAACCGCCTTGCTTGACCAGAAGTGGGACAAGATCTTCTACACTGGTGGAGAGATGGTTGCCAAGATCATCGCGAAGAAGGCAGCCGAGACCCTCACACCCTTGACACTGGAGCTGGGAGGCAGGAACCCTGCTATCGTCACAAAGCATGCAGACATGAAGCTCGCTGCGAGGAGACTATTATGGGCAAAGACACTCAACGCCGGTCAGGTCTGTCTCAGTCACAACTGTACTTTTATTGATCGTGAGATGGTACCTGCATTCATCGAGGAGATGAAGAAGCAGCTCAAAGAGTTCTACCCAGACGGTGCTCAAAAGTCACCCGACTACGGTCGCATCGTCAACGAGCGCCAGTTCCAGCGTATGAAGAAGATGATCGACGACAGCAACGGCAAGATTGTCCTCGGTGGCACAATGGACGAATCCGACCTCTTCATCGAGCCCACTGTCGTCCAAATCAGCGACATGAACGACAGCATGGTCACCAGCGAATCTTTCGGCCCCCTCCTCCCCATCCTCCCCGTCGCCAACCTCGACGAAGCCATCAAGATCGCAAACGAGCTCCACGACACACCACTCGGCACCTACGCCTTTGGCAACAAGGCCGAGCTCGAACAGATCATGAAACAAACACGCAGTGGTGGTGCCTCGCTCAACGACGGCTTCTTCCACGGATCCATTCCCACCATGCCCTTTGGCGGCGTCGGAACAAGTGGGCAGGGCGCATACAGAGGCAAAGCCAGTTTCGACACTTTCACACATCGCAGGAGTGTTACCACAACACCAGCGTGGATTGAGGGTCTCATGGACGTCAGATACCCACCATACACAGCTGCCAAGCAGAAGAAGTTCATCGGCATGAACGACATCAAGCCCAACTTCGATCGCGAGGGCAGGGCTTTTGGATGGGGTTCATGGTTCATGGGATTGTTGGGCGTAAAGAGTTTGGCGGCTATTGTTGGTAAGTGATCTATGAGTGTGGTGGCAAGCGTGTTCGTCAAGCTAACAAGTACA